ACGCGTCCCCTTTAACCTCGCCGTCGCCCCAAACGAGGGGGTGGCTAAAAAGCTATATAATATGATCAAAATCTCATACAGCTCAAATGTATTATTATTATTATTCTGTATTGTTGCCGAGAAACGAACGCGTCCAATCGAAACCGATTCACAAAACGAATATAGCATCCTCTAACAACCTACGTTATAATAACCATAATATATATACTATAAATTGTATACATATATTAATATGGCCACGATAAATTCGTATACACACACAACCAGTCTAACCAGTTCTTCCTGGTGTACTTTTTTTTTTTTTTTTGTCTTTCATTGTATACGTCCATCACACACCACGATCACGACTCCGGTGTTAACGCTCCTATATAATGTGTATAAATGTATATCATCTGCGCCAATGATGTTATAATGGTACACACACAAGCGCGGACCATTGATTGCCTATATACAATATAATAATATATCGAAATACGACGGTGAGCGCCCAAGTACACATTAACAGTGCGTATGTATGTGCTGCAAGCTCCTCTACCGGCATCCGGTTTTTTTTCCCAACACCATATCATATTTATTACTATTATATAGTTTTGCTGTTCGTACCGAGTCCGCGCGTCACTGTAATAATATTGTATACAGTTTCTACAGCCTAGTTTCGTAATACTGGGCTAGCTGGACGATTAATTCATTCCGCGTTTATTAGAATACGGTATATAATACAACAAGATATTTAGTGTTGTTGGTTCCGTGTAAATATACAGTGTTATAGGTACAAACACGATCCGACGGAGAATTGAATTTTCCGAATCTTTATTACATTATCATCATTATATAAAGTCGTACGCGGTCGTAAATCATCGAGGAGTAGGTTATAGGAGTAGAAAAGATGAGACTTGCTTAACAATAAAAAAAATGAAAAAATTAAGCCAACAGAGATAATGACGCGAGCTGGTTGTAAAGGAAAGGCGATAAGCAACAAATTAAACAAGATTGTAATAAATGTTGAATTTGTTATGTCACAAATAAAAAAGGAATTAGTTCCAACAAAAAAAAAAGTTTTTGCATCATTCACGTATAATAAATCCCTAAAGCGTATAAAGTATAATATGACAATGAATTATTGTATACAATAATATGTAAAATATGTACATTGCGATTGTCTTATTGCGCACGTTGATTAAAGATTATGCTGGTGCGAGCAAAAATCGACGGGATCAAGGTCGGACAAACGGCGTTGTTGTTTGAATGAAAGAATAAAAAAAAACGTAACTACCTACTACTCCAACGTTTGGTTATACGACGAGTGAGGCGAGTGCCGACGGCGGAGCGATTCAATTTACCCAACTCTCGAGCATGGGATTAACTTAAGAATTTTTGATTCCTTATGTAGTTAACTATTTAAAATGTGTCATGGAACTGCTAATGCTTTAAATTTGTTCGATAACAATCAAACTGCGTTTTCCAAGTGTAATCGAATACAAAACGATAGTTAATTTTATATTATAAAAACAAAAACTATTTATACATATAATAGAGATAATGTATTATATAGCAGGTGACTATTAAAAGCCGAACGTGCGGTATTTGTGTAAATAAAACGATTAACTCGATACTTGGATCTCGAAAAGAGACATTCTCAATTTGCAGATAAAATTAATCAAAACACATTTATCATACACATTATACTGCTTCACAACGTTAGAAAAAAACACCAATCCGTGTTTATTATTGAAAAAAGTCATGTCTGTTAACAAAATAACGGATCCTTATGAAAAAATTCGAAGCTCATTTTCTAAAAGTTGTTACACAACGATTTAAATTATCTGTTAGAAAACATCGAGACGAGATATTATTATGTTTTTTTTTTTAATAAAATAAAAAAATATATGAGAAGTCTAAATAATTGGGATTTGCTAAATTTTAGATCCAAAGCAAGGTATTTTCAGGAAGCTTTTCTCGACCTTTTCGCGATGTAGGTACATCACGGCCTTTGGATTGTTTTACAATATCTATATGTTATATTATTCATACGCGAGTAAGTGGTATAATAATACCGAGGATATGCGGCGCAAAGGGCATTGGCTTGAGGAAGAGCGAGCAGGCATATACACACCGCAGCACGTATAACAATCGTTACGAGGGTGAGGTTTTGACGGACTTCGAAAAGGATCTCGCCGAGGTCGAACGACGGAGGACTCGGATGAATAAAGGGCGATCGGAGGGAGCGCAGGGAGGTTCGCAGGATATATGAAATATGAATTTTCGTAATTAGAAGTCCCGTCTCCACACACACATATGCGATGAAGCGAGACAGAAGGCTGATCAATAATTCAAACTCATTTTAAAGCGTATCAGTGTGTGTGTGTGTGTCGTGTATGAGATGCCGAACCATGGAGATATATCTTCAAATCAAGATGGCCGCGTCAATCGTCTATTGTTTTAATAGTTGCCGTAGGTGGGAGTTATATGTACCCCTCTTGGGGTATACATAACGTACAGACGGGGGAAAACTATAGTGCGGGGGTGGTGTTGGCGGTACGTGGGGAAGTGAAGACGGCGCGGCGTGCAGTTCCGAACTCATATATATACATATATACATATACAGCGCGTTATGTGTGTGCCCATCTATCAACCCTCATTTTCTACCCTTCGGCGACCACTCGTCATATGTGTGTGTGTGTGTGTGCGTGTATGAAAACGTATTGTAGAAGAGAATGAACGAGATGTGGCGAAGAAAACTGATCAAAGACAGAGTGCGAGAAAGAGACTGATTGCGTGGAAAATACACGTATCTGTAGTGTATATATGTATATAGGTATGCGTATAGATAGGTATTATAATAATTACACGGCTGTATAGGCGAATGTACATCATGGGCGTTCGATTTAAGTAATGAGAAATACGACGAAAACGTTTTTGCACATCATATTCATACACATTATACATAACCATAGCGTCTTTACCGATAAATATATTATTATCACATATACAAGGTACCTATTTATAATATTCAAGCTGATACATCTGGCGTTACGTTTGGCAATGCGTAATTACTATTATTATTCGTAACGCCGGTCGATGTGCTTAAGTATCGTTAAATTAAACCCGATTAACGAAACTCGGCGATATTGCCGTCGCTCTTCCCGCGTGTATAGAAGTTTCTCGTCGGAGCGACGGTGTTAAAACTTTTGCCAAAGGGTTGTGTCGAACACCGTGCGAGGACCGGCGGGGTTGGAAAATACTAAGTGAATAACATTATTATGTGTTATGATTTGAAGAATTTGTCATTTCAAAAGTTGTCCAATTTTTATTCGAGCTGAAATATAAAGAACAAATAGTAACCGCCACACATACACTTTTAGGGTTAGCGATCGCACACAAATGTTGTAAAAACCGCGACTCGGTTGTTTCGCGTTGGCGGCGGCGACCCTGAAAGTTTGTTGTCTAATATAATATGATCTATATATTATAATACAGTATGTCCCATAACGATCGTCACAGTACTCGACCGATTATTACATATCGCTCGTACGTATTTAGTAAAAATTGCAAAACTGCAATATTTTTAAACACTATTTTTTTTTTTTATGATAAAAATAATGTCCTTTCAAAAGTATGATAATATTATTGTTTTGAATTCCGAACACTGCAGGAGTTACCCAATATGCGACTTCGGCCTGTACACCTACTCGTATACTTGCGGGACAATAGATATATTAACGGCATTGAATACGAATTCTAGAGTCGACGGACTCTAGTTGAATTTCGGTCCTTCGTGACTTCATCATCGATGGCGGCGGTGTGTATTATTATACGACGTACGTACCTAAGTACAATCGTTTTGCGTGCCGTGCCGGTCGAGCGGTTCGATTTTTATATAAGGGCTTTGCGTACGCCCGATCATATCAGTTATTATACATGGCAGAGTATATATATATATAATATATATATACCATGGAGAGCGATGAGCGGTGGGGGGAGAACCGGCCAAAGTATAATAATATAATATATACGAACTCGGTGTGTGTATAAATCTATGTATATATATATATTGTACGGTATAGAAAATGCAGATGTAATAAAATCAATCCCAAAGTTTAGAGCACCATAAGACTTATTATGCGTCCAACGTAATAGCGTGATTGGACGCGAAACGGAAGGAAATTGCGTGATAGAAGTGGAAAATTTATACCGTATCCCCTCCCGTCTCGTCCCTGGCTTATGTACATATACAATAAATATATATACCTATACACCGTGCGTTCTACACCTTCGAGCGCCTCGTTTTCGATTCGATGGCGCCATTTCGTAGACTTGTTTAATAGGCTATTATGTTAAACATAATAGTTCATTATTTATTTTTATTGGTTTTACGTTATAGAATATTCGAAAATATTATTTACTACGAATACTAGGTACCTAAGAGCGCGTTTTGATTTGAGGAAACTTGTGTAATACATTAACAGTATATAACGTAACATTTTTAACCGTACAATAACTATACGGCCTGTTATTATTTCCCGGACAAAAATTGTATGAGTGTTTGAATTTCCGTCGTTTTCATCATAGTACACTACGTCTCCTATAATAGAGCTGTACATGGGACGTTTTTTTTTATTTTAAGACGAAGCGATAAAGCGCTGTGACGTTGACGCGAACGAGATTATAATAATAATAAATAAAACACACATCATCCGGTGTTGTATGCAAATACTATTCGAATAAAGAATATTATATATTGTGCGAGTTTGAATAATATTTCTGATATACAATTTTATCGAGCTCTTAGAGTGCAAATGCCGGAAGTTGTCTATTGTGTGTGTGAACAGTACACTCACTGTGTATAGGTGTAGGATTTTTTTTTGTAATAATTTTGTTTGTCTGGCTCAATGCGTTGTTGCGTTACCTCCTTTTGGTTTAATTTTAATTTGTGAAACCGTAAATGTTTTTTTTTTTTACAACCAAATAATAATGTTATAGAATATGCGTTAAGCGCTTACTTCTTTTTCCTTGGCCGAAAGTTCAAGTTCGACGGGTGTTTTGTTCTGATCCTCGGTGGACTCGACGTGATTGCTCAGAGGCGTGGCCATGGTCATGACGTTCGTGTCTTGTGTTTTGTTGTTGGTCAACTGTTCCTTCAGGGCAGTCACTTCTTTTTCCGCCAAAGTAGCTCTCTGTAACGATAAAATAAAAATAATGAAAATTGTGATTATGGTTGAACCAAAAAAAAAAAAAAACAATCTAAAATCGCCGGTATCCGGACTCTCTCTATTCTGTATCATCGTTTATGCAAGCGTAGGTAGGCACTATGCAACCTATACAGTATACACGTCGTCTGATAATATTATTATAATAACACAATATCATAATAGTAAAAAATAATAATAGTATCGTGTCTATCCTATAACACACTAACGGGTGTATTATATGTACATACATATTATATACTTTAAACGTGATTGAAAATAATGGTGCGCATTGTTACTATGATACACACGCCGTGTCGTTCGGGTCAATTTGCGAGACTTCCTGCCAAACGGGACTGTATATAGCTGATATATAGAAGTTAACCACTTGACGTACGGCGGATCGATTGAATCCGGTCTATTTAGTAATAATAATAATAATAATAATAATATAATATTGCAACGTCGGCCGCGGTGGTTAAATAGGTAATGGAAAAACAAAATATCCGTTGGCAATGGCGCTGTCGCGCGATGGACTCGACGGTTATTAATCGCCGATAATTGTAGTCCTATATCGCCTACATACAACTGACCGATTATAGCTATTATTATATTAAGCTGTTGGAAAAATGGCCACATCGCGATCCGACTCCTCCCCGGCCGGCCACGGCACACATATACATATATATATATATATTATATTGACATGCGACACGATAATAAATACACCCGAATACATTACATTGTACAGTATAGACGGCGGCAAGAAAAGAAGAAAAAAAAGTATTATCGAACGACATTGAAAAATTACAAATCCACCGATGCCAACCGTATACGGTGGGAGGTGTCTTAAAGTAGGTGGAACTATTGGACCGTATCACGCGCCATTGGACCGGCCCAACCGATATATCGACGGCGGCGGCGGCGGTGACGATGGCCTTATATATATATATATAAAATATACGTCCTTCTTTTTTTTTCCTTTCTACTTCTTCTTCTACTATGCTGCTGTATTCCTTATAGCAGTATTATTTTCTTCCACCACTTACCGCTCTGCCACAAACGACTTGGCTATACGGTACCTATTGATAATGTTAAACATATATATTATGTGCTCGCTAGCCGTCGGCGATCGTTTCTCTCTCTTCCTCTTCTTTGTTGTCCATAGTCGTTCGGTCACATAGTCTGTGTACATGTATATTTTTGTTTTCCACTCGTTTCTTTGGTGGTACGATCGGCCACGCCCACGAAAGCCGCCGCCGCCGCCGATGATCGTAATTGATTACAATAATAATTACTACAGATTTTTTATTTAGCATATACATTAAAAATGATTGCATTAAAAAGTCATAACCAATAAAATGTCTTTATATAATTAGGGAAATTTTACTTAGGACTTTGTTTTACGATACTAAAAATATATATTATGTATATATTTTTTAATTAAGTACTTTATAGGAAAACTACTTTGTTTTAATTGTTTCCCATGATCGACATAGACAATAATAATTTAAAAAAAACGTATTATTAATAATAAATTATTACCAACGTAATAAATCTATAATATATGCTCTATTGTTTAATAAGTTTATGTATATATCATGATATAGTTATACAGTACTATTACACGAATACTGGTAAATTTAATGCGATAGAGAAATAATATTTAAAAAAAAAAACCATTTATCTCAATAGACGAGCTTTTTGACACGTATATATGTTTCCCCCAATCCCTCGAAACGTATTTAGGTTCATTACCCATCATTAAGGGTATACTGTGTGTGTGTAGGATAAAAATCGCGGTTTGTCCCCTCTCAAAGTCGACGCGGAGGGGAAAAAACGAGAGTATGATCTGTGTTTTTCACGCCAAAACCTATAAAAAGGGTGGCTGATAAACACATTTTTTTTTTTTACTACACATCAACAAGACAAGCGGCACCCTTCAAAAAAATTATCCGCTCGTCAGAAAATAAAAAAAACAACAAAGCTATTTTTCATTTATCCATATAATATTGTACCTACATATATGTACCGACGCACTTAATATTCATTAACGCGATTTTTCATACCTTTTAAACGATAATAAAATTATGCGAGAAAAAAAAACACTCGGGCTCGTATGACGTTTGATTAGGATATACGATGCGCTTTTTTCAAATCGAAAAGCACCCGTCAAAAATTGAATATATTTACAAGTACGTTTAACAACATTTATACAATTTTACACCGCTAACGGCTGGTCGCGGATCAGACGCTATCTCCCCCTTTTGTATCTAGCTATACAAGTCTGTATTTATTATTGTTGTTTTTTTTCCATATGGTCGTCCGCCACCGTCGATACATATCTAAATGTGAATTAATATAATAATTAATTAATATTATCATACAGATAAAACACCTGCGAACCGCCTACAGCTATATACAAATACCGCGCACTTTTCTGTGTAATTTATGCACAACGAAATAATAAAATATATGATATATATCTAAACCCTTTGCTCAATGAACGCATGCGACAACTACTAATAGATAAAATGAACCGTTTTTTTAAATGTTATACGCGGTGTGCTTTACGCGTTTTGCCGGCAGTATGTTTGGTTTTCCATAATACACGAGTTAATTTGACCACGACCGATATCATATTATATCGAATGTTTTATATCTATAAAGTAATACGTCGTTTGACTTCCGTGGGGCACGTCCGGGTGGGTAACTTTGTAACCGTATCTCTGCATATGCCACCTCTCTTCATGTGTGTGTGTGTGAACTATGGAGGAACTGTTTTTTTCCCTATTGAAAATTTGAAAAACAAAAAAAAAAATACTCACGGGCTCTTGTTTTTTGGACTACATTTACATATTAGCGAGAACACTGCACCGTGTACCGTATACATATTATTGTATATTGTTGAATAGGCTGTATCATTTAGAAAAATAAACCAACTACAACGCTTATATATATATATATATATATAAGCGTAATGTGTGTATATATATATATATATATATATACACACATTACAAACAGAGCTCACACATATAGGTATGTATAAACCGTATAGTGAACGTGTATAGGTGATAAATCGGATCAAATACAGAATAAGAAGCAGAAGAGAAAAACCCGTTCGTGGGTGGAGACTCGCTTTGAGAGAAAAAACAGTTCTGACACTGACGAATTGAGACTTCATCTTTATAAACATAAATCGCTTTTGTGTTGTTATTATTTTCTTCTATCCTCCGTTTGGTAGTCTTTTTTTTTTGTTCCATTATACTCATTTATATTATTTATGTATATGCGTGTGTCTCCTCTCGCGCTCATCCATACACGACGCGTGTGTCTTAACACACAAATATATTCCTATATAGTCACACAATAATAATATATTATGACGTATTCTATATATGCATTCTCTCGTCACCGCGCACCTATGCACATAGGTACATATCTAATCCTTCCTCTGCGCCGGGAGGTTCCAATGCCCTATTGTTGAGCATAATGTATAATAAAATAATATTATTATATAAAAAAAAACCTACACGCGCTAGATCTACTGCACTGTGCGTTTGACGCAATAGATAATTGTAGAAAACTAAAAGAAATAATTAAATAAATCTTTGACCTTTTCGGTTGAACGCGATGCGGGTTAATTATGCGTGTTAGCTGATGAAAAGAGATGCCGACGCGGCCGTATTGCATTGTATATATAATAAAAAACACTAATTATTTGATTTTCATGCATTTTTTTAATTAACGCTGAAATGCGATCAATGAATTTTGTCCGATCGTTTCATAATATAAATAATATTACTTATTATAATATATACACATGTCACATTAAAAAATACTATAACATGTGTGTGTGTGCACAGGGCAACGCGATTTCCAAGTAATTAAGCCGGTACAAGACGCTTTTATTTTGTACATGCGAGTGCGTTATTACAATGTTATCTGGCATTTCTGCGTACGTCGATAACAAGATGAAAAGAAGCCGCTCCTATATAGGTGAAAACCGCGTATAAATCGATATAGATTCTCATGAGAGTTGCAATTTTTCAAAACACTTTTTTTCCATTTTTAATTTTTTTTTTTGCTTCTAAAACACCCACACGGTGTATCGACACCCGTCCACGCTCGTGTGCACACAATTTTATTTTATCTCAAAATAATAATAATAATAATACAAAGTAGCAATAAACGTATCTAATGTCACACATCCGCAAATAATAATAATTTTTTTATACGCCAATAACGTTGCATATTACGTACTGACAGAGATTATATTAATATCATATGTACACACACAATATAATATACACTATTTATAAAGTCACCATTGTGTAATAGGTAGTCAATGCGAGAATGCCGCCTCCGCATCATACACATCTACGACAACGCGGAGGTAACTCGGTTTGTGTAACAAAACACATTATGATATTAGGCGTACTGCGGCTCGTCCAAGTCTAAGTGTCATTCAAGAAACTACTACAGTTATTTTGCTATTAATTTTGTAATTCAAATTAAGAATACTCTGTTTTTTTGTGTTTTGCCATGGTACCAAAACTGAATTAAGTGTAACATCATTTGTTGTGCAATATTATGCCGACATAAATTTTGTTGAGATTTATCTGTTCGGTTTTTGACTTTTTGTTTGGATATCGATCGGATTGTGGTCTTGCGGGGTGTTTTTTTTTTGTTATAAGACAAAACAGTCACACACACAGTATGAGTCATTATTGCGCGAGGGGGTGGTGTATATAATTGCGAAAGAACCCAAGGGGTGCTGCTCTACCGAAAAATGTTTGACGCGAGCACGTATGCAAATCAGAAGCACACAAGAACAACATGTAGGCGCGGGAAGGCGGAAGTACATACATACATATAGGCCGGTAGTATAAAAAAAAAAGTAAATAGGGTTCGCGCTGTTATTTTTTTGTTTTTCTGTTTGGCGCGTTAATTTTTGTTCGACCTTTATATTATTATTTTTATTGTTGTTGTGATGTTTGTTTATTTGATATGTTCGGTAAACACCTAAACGGCAAACATGACAACCGTGCGCACTATAAATGCGTTGACAGGCGGTCATCGGCTTGCACGGAGGTATCGGATTTCGCGTATACAATCGTCGCACGGGCTTCGTCGGTACAAAAATAAAATATTTTTTTTTTTACAATATAAATATTATAATATCAACGGTAAAAAACGGACGTGGAGAGGGGGAGAAATTTGAATTACAGTATAATACGGTGTTGTTGAGATAATCGAGTCGGCGCGGCTATTTGCCCGTTGACGTTTGAAGTTTTCATAGAAAAGAAGGCATCGTCGTCGATCAGATAAAACGCTGCGAAATCCAAAAAAAAAAATCATAAAAAATAATCTCATCAACGCTCGGCGGTTTCAATAAGTAATACAATATTATTTATATTAGTATGGGTATGGCGAGAAAATTATAATTAAAATCGACGTGTACTGCATTTCCCTTTATATGTTAGACATTATTATAATTTACATTACATTATTATGTTTAATTTTCTAGAACTTTTTGACGCGCACAACCGAGTTGGCGTGTTTCTCGGAAAAAGTGTCTATTAAACGATGTCGAACGAGCGAGCATATACATATTATAATGTAGTATTATAATTAGTTATGGGAAAACGATGCATGTGTCTCGCCCGGGCGCGGGTTGTATAGAGAAAAACAAGAAGACAACACGAGTATTAAATAAAAAAAAAAAATGCATCTTTCCCCGGTGTTCTGCCAGCCGTATAATTAGAATCGGTGTGTAGCGCCGCCGCGGAGGAGAAAAAAAAACGGGAAGCAAATTTCTTCGTACGTCGTTTGTTATCCAAATGACAGGGCCCGAGATTGGGCGAAGTCTTGGGGGAAAAACATAAAATATATTTTATTATAAGATACCTCCTACCCGCGTATCGCCACCGCTGCCGTTTCTCTTTTCGGTAATCCAATTATTAACGTGCAAAAAAATAAAATAAATATATATACACGTACGGACGCCGAACAACAAAAATCCAAACGGAGATTAGACTCTTGGCGACCCTTTAATCACATCTCGTGCGCACCGGAGACGTATATAATATTTTCTGTGTTATTGATTGAGGCTATTTCGCGTCCGCTTATGTCCGAGTATAATATTAAAACATATACATCATAGTATACCCGCCCATATATATGCTATATGTATGTCGCATATGCACGAGCCGATCATAACACATATTGCACCTATATATATATATATTTATACATGTCCTATACTTATTACCGTGACGAATATTTTAAGTAAAAAAAAAAAAAAATGTAGTGTCGTCGTAAATTACATGTATATTATAAGAACGTGATAAATCACGTATAAGGCCGTTAATAATAGTTTTTTTTTATTTTGAGTATTAAGTGTTATTTTTATAGAAATATTATACGAAGGGAGGATCGCAATAATACCGATGGCGGCGACTCGGTTTATCCGAATTATTAATCAATTGTCACGGAGCCATAACCCGATTTGTCAAACAGGACACGTCGAGCCGGACCGCAACCGGTTTGCCATACATATTATTGTAACCGAGTTCACTAACCCCCTGTATCGCCGCCCTCCTCTCGGCCCGGACTTAAAGTAACGCGAGTTACTTTTTCGATAACTTATCTGTATGTAGAGGTATTATACTAAAAGAAAATGTCTTTTGAAAATGATAATTATAATAAATCTATTTACTATGTATATATGCGCGTCGCAGTACGGCGAAAAACACCGTATCGCGTATATAGTGTGGACTGTCGGCGTATATATATATATATATATAGTAATAATAATACTAATAATAATAACGATACTACATAATACATGCGATACCGAAATAGTCGTTTTGGATGGTTTTCAAAAGGGATCCGCCGCCGTCGCACGGATCGGACGTGTCACTCTAAACAAACCGATTATTAAAAACCACATTAAAACGTGTTTAATCTGTGTACGCCATTAGTTTGACGACGGCGACACCTACCACATTCCCCTGGTCCTACGGGTCCACGGCCGGCGGGGGTGGGGTTGCAATATATGTGTTTATCATATAATATAAAAGCCGGTGTATATTATAAAGGAGCAGTAAACGCGCGGGAGGCGGGGAAGAGCTGGCTATTTCAGTACGGCTGTCATCGTGGTCGTCATATATAGTTGCCCGTATTATATCGGTGTGTATGTGTGTGTGTGTGTGTGTATATGGTGGGAGTTTATTAATATGTGTGTGCTTTAAGTCTGCGCGGCGTTTCGATGGCCCGGCGCAACACGGCCGTGTGTATATTTTTTATGTATGTATATTGAAAAAAAAAAAAACAAACCGAAGAGGAAGACGGAGGCGCGCGCGCACATGTCACCAATAACACAATATATAATAATATACGGTTGTGTGTATTAAGTACAGAGCGATGACTGGTCTCTGTGTCAGTCGTCGGGACGGTGCCAAGAAAATAGTAAATTTTCGACATTTTTTCTCCCGTGTCACCGGTACCGCCTATGGGAATATAAGCTTGTGTAAGATGCGAGCGGCAGAAGTCATTAAAGGAAAATCGAATGTTTATGACACCGCCGCCGCCTGTCGTTGTTAACGAGCGGCACTAAGGTTTCTAAACTTAGACGAGCGCCGTTTTTTTTTTAATACTATCATACCCATTCGGCACGAGTAATATTATTATGTTAGTAACAGTCGAGAACTGTCGCAAAGTCCACGGGATTTTTTTCCCCCGGCCAAATCCGCCCGGCGCGTCGCCTACCACGTGGGTAAAGCACCGGGCCGAGAGCACCTGTGCGTGTCTCCAGCGGATAGGCCGCGCCATCTACCGCACGGCCTTTGCGCCATAGGGTCGTCGGTTGCCGACAGACGGGGCGACAATAACAATAAGACAACAATAATATACAAGAGATACCGCTACGGGTTTATTGCGTTTATCTGGAGAAACCGCGTTTTCTACCCCAACGACAATCATAGTAATAGTGTTCACGTTTGTTCCGCAGGAGTTGTTAACTAAACGTTCAGTGGACGCGACAATAGTTAGGTTCAATGGTACTAAAAGTTCAGGCACCGACACACGTTGGACATGTGTTTTATTTATAATTTAGCTTGAGTTATATAAATTATTACTATAAGATCCGTTTCGCCGGAAATAAGATTATACCGTTAATGATAATTATTTATAAAGTTAATCGAAATTCACTATAAATTTAATAGCGGATATATTTTTTCTATGAAAAGCAGTCCGAGCGGAGAACATGATAAATATACTCGAGCGCGTTAAACTGACGTTTATTTTTCCACAACACGAATAATAATAATTAAGTGTCCTTTGCCTCCGCGCGCTTAGACGAGACGTTTTGTAAAGTTCTATTTCGGACCGCTTCTCTCCCGGTCCGGCTAATAGACACACTCAATGCCGATCACGTCCGTAAATGTCTTCATCGGGCTCCTAAACGGCATCATTGCATAACTAGCAATATCACCGACAGACCGTTAGTATATTAACTGTTGAACTATGTATGTACACACGGACGGCCAAAGGTATTATTAAACGATCGGTGTCGAATTGACCCGAAAATGTTGGTCGGCGTCAAAGGCCACACGCAAGCTTGTTGTCAGTCTCAAATATACAAAACACAAAATACTCTAAATACGTCCAATGCAACGACAACAACAATAATAGTAATAATAATAACGGCTCGGACTCGTTCATCACGAGCCGGACATAGGAATTCCGAATTCGATTGCCGTGACGGACAAATTCCTCAGGGGTGTCGCCACCACCGCTTTGCCCGTCGGCTGTCTGCGACCGAACGCCAACAGCAACAACGATGATAATATTATTGCGGCCCGGTTGATTTCCATGTTATTTAACAACTCTCGCTTTGACCCTGTCCAGCCGTTCAACGGACAAAACCGAAGACTAAACCCCGACCGCAGCCTTAAACTAATATCTACTCTACAGAATTGGGGGTCGTGTTACCTGTTGCCAAAATTGAGCCAATAAATAGATGCGTTCCTTTTTGAAAAGCCAATCCATAGACTGCATAGCCTGGACGTCCATATCACGTGTTACGCATAATTACCGTGCGGACAGACACACAATAATTACACGGCACGCGTCGCGATACGGATATTCGGTTAAGTGCGAAAATCTGGTCGCTCAGTGCGTGGGCAGCGATCTTGCCAACGCCATTGTACGGTTCATTGTGTCTGCAAAAAAAAAAACCATACGAAAACATGCGTGAGATAAGTACAAAAAACAACAATGGCAAAAAAAAAAAACGTTACTACAACGCGGGAGATACCGACAAAACGCAACAGATACGCGGACGCCGGCGGATTGCATACACAAAACGCCTGCCAATACGAACATGGTGTATGCATTATACATTACGCGCGATATTATTGGCAATACTGGCACATTGAAAACCGCCTTGTAGCATGTGATTTTCCAGTAGTTATTATTATTTCAGATAATTGTGTGTTCAAGTATGTGTGTGTGTGCAACCAATACACGGTAACAAACACAAAAGCAATAAGTAATTTCTGATTAAACTCGACGGTAAAACAATTATAGATGCCGTAATATTATATGATATTATTTGGCAGTCCTTGAGCTTATCAATGACGACGAAAACGGCACATAATACACCGGATGGGTAATAACACGGCTAGTGTACACGGTATTATTATATTGTGATATCCAGTATTAGCCGCAAATTACCAAATATCTATATCTATATATATTTCAATAATTACAGTGATTTAGGGGATATTTAATTTTTACGGACAAAAAAAAAAAAACGCAAATGGTCTTCGATTACTCGGGAAAAAAATATAGCCTACAATAATTTTCGCATAGTTACTTATTATCGTGTTTTGCCGTGAAACGCGATTGCAACATCAAAACGATACGATTTGACCGCAGCTATTTTTTTTCTTCAAATTAATAATCGCTATTTTTGTCGGATATCTATTTTTAAAAAAATTGTACTCATCGGACGCGTGGGAGGTATTTTTCAAAAAACTCAATTAGTATACAGAGTCGATCGCGGGGGTAGGTTATATGTATAAATCTAGTATTGCGATTGAAAATGTTTATCCGATTAAGCGCCCAAAGTCAATATAAATACAAATTTTTAATTTGTATTTATTTTATTTTTATTGCAATTGTACTTATAGTTGGAAAATAATTTTTTAATTGTATTCGATACTCCGCCGATCGCTATTGTTTTGTCGCGGTTCGAAAAAAATATATATTTAAAAACACTGTACCTGTCTATGTTGTTTGTAATTTCGCGAGCAGACTTGACTTTTCGCCAATAAGTAGGCTACAATAATATATTTTTTTTTATTGAACAGTTAAACGCAAAACATACCTGACGTTAGCGGTTATTCGTACATCGTTAAAAAAATAAAATAGTTGTACTTGACCACCATAAGTCGTATCAATAATATTATGTTAGTCCGATAAAAATAATAACACTAATTTACAGGCTGTTTGGCATTGACTACGTATAATGTACATACCTACACATATATTGGGATTAGCATGTACAGTGAGTATATTATTATAGAAGACAATGCGAAATGGAAATACAATTCGGTATTGAATTATTATTTCGACAAAAAATTAGCAAACAAACAAACACGTATTGTTAATTGTTTTTCAATAGATGATCGCGCATATAGGTAATGCCCGTATATTACTAGGCCGTCTGATAAGTTTGTATAAACATCCGAATCAATTGTCTAATGTTTTGGCTATTTGGCCGTGAAACAGATATAGGTATTGAATTTGAATTTTGTTTTTTTTTTCACCGTTCCGATTAAACTGTCGTTTTTCGCTTGGAGACGTTTTGATTTTTCAAGATGTTACACATAATATTTATCTTAGACAAAAATTTGGACAACGTTTATAATTTAAAATATATTTTTTTTTTATATGTTTGCGATTGACCGATAGTATTGATAAAATAATTAAATAAGTATGATTGACCGATAGTATTGATAAAATAATTAAATAAGTATAAGTCCTATAGAGTCGAACGGTTACCGAAAAATATTTTAACGGAGACTAGTAATAATTATGTTGAATTATTATTATAGTGATTTTTTTTTAATAAAACAATGTAATAATACGAAATACAAGTACAAACGAATATATAACAATAATAATTTTAATAAAATTATTAATTAGTCTTAGATATTTTTTTAGTCATCATATGCAATAAAATATTAATTAATTTTTTTTTTGGGTATTGTGACGTGTGATGTGAATTTTTTCCCTTAACCAAACTTATTAATATAAAAAAAACTGATTTAGTAATTCCCACGATAATGTAACATTGTACGGGGTAAAAATATATATTTTTTTCAAAATTGTTAGAAAAAATACCTATACAACAATAATTTGAATTAAATAATTAATTACATTTCTTTTGTGTAAAGTGTCTCAGAATTTTTTCTCAAACCAAACTAATAAAAAATAAAAAAGTAATAATTTCCACGATGATGTAAAATTGCAATTGTATAATATCCGAAAGAATTATTTTTGCGAAGTCTATTTCGGTAAAATATTAATTAAGACGTTTCATAATTATAGTTTACCGCATAAGTCAAAATAATAAAGGTTGGGGGCTGTTAAAAAAAAACAAATTAACATTATAAAAAAACTCACCTGTTTGTATTTTTTGTTTTTGGAGGACGACTCAGAAAATCGGCGGTCTTCCAATGTAGGTACACAATGATTAGTTGTACTTATTTTACGGTAGATACGACAAACTTATTTTTATTACTATAATACACTAACGTGATAAAATAATAATCAAGATAATATTAATTATTACAAATTTGTCGGAATGTCTCGAGTAAAATGTAAAAAAAAAAAAACAATAGCGCACTAAGATCGACTCGGGTGCGATTTAATAAAAAAAAATTAATTTTGTTTTCGTGTATCCAAAATAAAACGTACAATGTATTGAAAAAATAAAATAAACTCTATTTTCAATATTATTTATTCGAAAACTGTCGTCGATACGGCGTCGGCGGCGAAGGCGATAGTTGACGGCACACACTCGAACACAACACACGCGCGACTTGGACGACTACCAGCGGATAACAACGTACAGCACGCGTGTCGACACCGCGCGTACAATCAGTGACGACTGTCGACCGACGGCGGCGCGGATACCGGCTAGCGGGTCCTGCCGATATCTCCGGTCGGTGGCGCGCCGGCACAACAACACCCGGACCGTTTGAAACGCTGTCCCCGTACGCTCCTGCCATCTACCGGCAGCCGCCGCATGTCCACGGCGCACAATCCTTTACGGTTTTTTTTTTTATTTGTTCCCCATTTCTTCTCTTCTTCTTCATCGTCGTCTCTTTTTACCGCTCCTTTCACTCTCTTTCGCTCGTATGTACTATCCCGCGAGAGTGAGAGAGAGATAGGAGGTGTAGTATATATATATATATGCTCTCTATATTATTATACCGTCTCTCTCCGCCTCCGCCGTACATTCGCTTTTTTCGGTTTTATTTTTTTATTTTTATTACTATTCGACCCGAGTTTTCCTATTATTTTTCGCCCGCGCCCAAACGTTTTTCGCCACCCAACGCCCATCGATTCCCTATCAATCACGCCCCGTATATTATGTATTGGCTACCGACTTACGCAAGCACCTCGTGTGTGTGTGTATGCGTTACGACACATTGCGCATATCACACGTTGCGCACCAATCGTACCTATACAACGCTGTTGTCGCGATAAATCTTGTAATATCGTTTATCGAATGGCGAGTGTTTTGTTTATACATACAAATTTCAACCGTTACCGCGACAATCGAGTGCTGAACGAACGTAAAATCTTATCTATTATACTACGATAGATATTAATATAAAAGATATTTCATATTTCTTAAGATGTTCACAAAATATGTGGCCTGACACCGAAAAAAAGCAATTAATTGTACCGTATTTAGCCAGTGAAAAAATGTATACGCATGTTTTTAATATTAATTTTCTAAGAATATTTTTACTAGGTATATATAAGCATATAATAACGACGTAGTAGATAAAAAAAAGTGACTGAAGTGTAACTAGACGCGTTTAAAATAACCGAGTAAAAATTTAGGGTAGGTACATTCTATGTTTTAAGAGGTTTTTTTTTACAATTTTCTCCCTCTTAATAGTAATGCAATACGATTAAGAAACATTTTTATAAATTCACTTAGACACTTTTTAAATGATGCGGTGACGTTTTATTGACGTTTTAATATGACAAATTTTTGTCCTAAAACAGTTAAAACTGTTTCATTGTATTTTGAAATACAAATATTATTTTTGTGCTAGTTGATTAATAGAACAATTAACTATTTGTGCTGTATAGAAATACTGAAAACATATAAAATAAACCCAAGTTTATATACATGTATAAAGTATGCCTATAATTGGTTATAAACACTCAATCATTAATATAACGAATAATAATTTAATTTGTCATCAACTAATTTAATGTAAGTATATATAACCACTAGCGTGGGCACTCGGTACGACAAAGTAAAATATAATACGGTACTTGATTCGATAAAAATATGATAGTTATACCATTTATAATGGTTATTATTTTTTTTATAAAATATAAAAAGGAACAAAATGAAAATAAGGCTATGGAAAAAAGGGAATACAACAATATTGTTGTTGGCCGTTTGTAGTGTTATTATTATAAAGGGCACCTCTCCGAGAAAGAATATTGTTAACTTGTCAACAGTTAAGATTCGAGAATCATGTTTTAGAGGTAAAACTGTCACGTTAAAAAATGAATTTCGATTAGAATATCGATTAATTTTCAAACAATAATGTCATAACCTGTTTTCGGAGTTATACTGAAAAATAATAATTTACAATGTTTAGTGATTACCGGTTTTGACTGTTATATAATGCATCACCAAGTTACAATTATGATATTTAAAAAAAAATTAATTTTTAATGACGGTATCCCGAGCTATTTTATTCTTGGACTAAATCATTGAAAATTATTTTCCAGCTTTATCCCAACGCTTGTTCAATTGAAAAAAACTAATTTAATGATACATCGCTGGCATTGGTTGGATAAGAAGTACATTATTGTATTTCTATAACGCATAAAAAGGTGCCGGTTTTACGACTTCTATAGCTGTTAATATCACAATTCTGGTTATTTATGTATTTTTTATTATTATAAAAAAAATTAATACCAACAGTAATAACTATGATAAATTGATAAAAGTTGTATACAATTGTACAGTAAAACAAATATTACCGTTTGGTAATGTGAGATAATTAGTCGATTTATTGTTAATAATAAATTAAAATTGATAATTAATTATTAGAGACTAAAATAGTTGTTAAATAAATAATTAGAAGTGCTCATATTCGCGTTTAAATATCAATATATTACTGTCAATTGAAGTGAATACAATTTTCAATAAAAACTAATGTGTGGTGTGCAAGTAAAATCGATAAAATACACATTATATTATGCTAATGGTCGTTTTTAATCGTATTTTTTTTTTTTTTTTTGTAATGGCTAACGACCGAAACATATCGCATAATAATTATTAATCCGAGGACAACCGGTCCTATAAAAAAAAAAAAAAATAACAATAATAATAAAAATCCCGTGCTCCGCAACGTTTACAATACGTGCCGTAAATAGTTTGATTATTTTTATTCGACGGTATTATTAAGTACAATAAAAAAAAAAACCGAACAAATTGACGTCCGAACAATATATTCACGTCATGTACTACTACATCATAGGTTGTACTTATGGTGCGTGCATCATTGTGTCATTGTGCACGTCAGTGTGTGTGTGTGTAGACTATACATTGATTATGTTATGTTACATATATTATTATTATAATATACAGAAAGTAATTATTTTTCGAATATTTCCATTCGCGGTTAATTTGTACGCGTATACCTGTACTTAGGCGTACTACATAATATACATTGCACAATATATATTACATTATCTATGTAGTCACTGATCGTTGATGGACTCGGGATGCGTTTACGTATCACATTATGATGACACCCGTCGTCCTCGAGCCGAGGAGACCAGTGTACATAAAAATTCGACGGTAATGCGCATATGTAAAAAAATCAATGAAACATAATATCAAAGCCTTAAATCTCCGAGGGCAAAACAAAATAATTAAATCGCCGCAAAAATACATTATATTAGTAGTTTTTTTTTCCTTCCATTAATTCATGATCATATTATTATATCGGATTTCGATTGAACGCAGATATGCCTAGAATATATTCTAAAACTAGATTGGTAATAACAGTAATCATGTCTAAGTACCAGCGCACTCGGTACATCTTCATACAATGTATATGTATGCTCTACGTTTTATAAGCTTCCGACACATCACGTGCAGTTGTGCCCTATATCTATATACAGTTTCAAAAAATCTGTATTACATCTCCTCCATCTCTCTCCTCGTAAATGGACAATAAAGGGTATTTTCAATACGTTATTTTGTTTATAAAATACACATTTCTAAATGAACCATCTGAAAGTCAAGTACATGTTATACCTCAATGCTCATCGCTTGTTTAAATAGGTATGTTTGTTTAAATTCCGCGTGTGATTACACATCATTATCCAATTTGTTTTCAATTAATTTTATCATACTCGTGCTAAAGATTTTTACTCAATATACAACTCCGACATATCGTTCGGTGTACTTACAGTGGTAGCCTGAACTTTAACGTTCACAAGTAACTCTCGTATACCACTTATTATGACACACAAATAGCTAACCCTATACATAAATCTAAATTACTCACAATCTTACCGTAGTTGTATAATATAATGTTTAAATAAACGGTGATGCCGAAATCAATGGGCCTACTATCAGCTAAATGTACAGATGTCAATGGCGATAACTTTGGTGTAGAAAACAAGTTTTGTAAGTTAACCACATATATATGACATGTACGTTGCGACTGTAAATGTTTAAGTGTACACCCCTGCCGTAATAAATAATTCTTGTTCTGTCACCGACGTTCATGCGGTTGATCGCCCAAAGTTGTGTGAAAACATTGAAAATTATAATTAGATCATGCTTTAATGTTTGTAGAAAATTGCTAGCAAGTGTTAAAATTGAATAAGGGGTTGCTTAAAAAAAAAAAAACAAAATCAATTCCTTCCAAAGATTAACGTACACCGTATTAATTCGATTTGTACGACCAGTGTGAACGAGAGACGCGGCCTCTGTTTAAACGTTTTAGCTTTACTTATTTTCCCCGCGTTAAATCATTATCATCGCGTATGAAAATTGGATTAAAAAATGATTGGATTTGTTCGCCAACTTAACTTCACTGTTTATGTCATGGACTTCACCCCCAACAACACATACACGTGCGTTAGGGGTGACATTGTACAAATCGAGTTGATTATTCGCGCCTAGGGCCGAGATAACCTATAGACAGATTGATGGTATTATTATGTTCTTTATACAAGTATATAGATATTATTTTATATTTGACGATGGAAGCTAAACACCATCTACACAAATGTGCGGTTTGAATAGATTAAATGTGTATTATCTCTGACACGTGTAAAGTCTGCACGAGCAAAACCTAACCCAAACGCTCGACAACTGACGCTGTTGTTTTTTTTATGTAGGTACATGCATTTTTTAACGGCATGCCCTTGACCCACACGCGTCGCAACATCAACTAATTGTGGTGTCTTGCACTGTGTTGTTTTATAACATTATGAAATTAGGTACGAATCATTTACACTTTTTTTTATAATAAAAACAATTTGCCGAAAATGTTGACCGGTCGGTGGGCCAGTTTTGAATAAATACTTTTCGAATAGGTATTGTTGAATATTTAGAACGGGTGATGGAATTATAGTATGAGTAACGCGTGCAGATAATATTGCTCAGATTTAATAACTCAAAAAACAATAATTATTAAAAAACTGGTTATCGACCATCTAAATTTGTAGCCAATTATTTTTAATTAAACAATTTATTATGATTTATGTTTTTATGTAATTTCAAAAGTCGATAAAAATCTAGAATTTACCGAAGAAAAGATAACAATTTTAACAGGTCCTGTCCGATATTTTAAGACGACATCAACTAAAATGTTTCCACGAAGTAAAACTATAATGTTT